ATAAAAAGAGCTGCTAAAAGTATAAACAACTGCGTTAAATCATTTTCATTTATTCAGAAGACACAGCGTCGCGCACCATACCGGAAAACATAGATTGTTGTTTGATGTAAACATTTCCCGAAGCAGAGACCCCCATCAGCTGGAATCTGGTCCAGTAAAACCTTTGGACCCTCAGAGATCCAGTATCTGTCTGAGCTTCTCTGTTATGAAGCTGGTTTTCATGGAAACACATTTTATATTAGAGCCAGTGTTTAAGGACTTTGACAGCTCGCTGATCAAGAGGAGCTGGCTCCGCCCACTTTGGGTAGAAAACTGTCCAACAGGAAATGAAAACAGGAGATAATCAGGATGTTCTGCCTAAAACTGTTCAAAGTGAGTCTGTAAATACTGTGATGGGTGGTCAGGGGTGGGGTTAGGTCAGGATGATTAACTCTAACCTAACCTGGGCGGGGCCTCTCATCTCATGTGATCAACTTCAGTCCAAATTTATAAAAAAGTTTTTTATCTAATGCTAAAAACATTGATCAGCTGTGGAAGAAATGATTTACAGACCACACACAGCAAAATACAAAGTGTTAAGTTAACACTTTTTATGAGTTTAAAATTACACTATTACACTATTTAACACAATAGTGTTAAATATTTGACACCCACTGGTGTTCTTTTATGACACTACATAAGTGCACTTTTAATTCAAAATTGTGTTATTCTCTTTCATTGCTAGTGTTAAAATCTTAACACGAGTAGTGTCATTTTATGACACATTAAGTGTATTGTAACATTGGAGTTGTGTTATTTCCTTATACTAATGTGTTAACATTTATTGTTTTGTCTTAATACATATAAAATGCATTCTGCATTTAGTAGCTTTCCATGTAAGATCAGTGTAAGTTTTAGGCTACAGAACAGATTGCACTCTGGCTCAGAGATAAGGTAAAATATTTAAATGTATGAACACAGCAGCACAACAGAGTTGACCTTCAGTTTCAAGTTTTTTCAATTTCACTTCTTTATTCATTTCATTAAAACAAAACAAATAATTTTATATACAATATACAATAAAAAGAAAAATATAAAAAGAAAAATGAGAGAGAAAAAATATATATGTATATCAAAACCACAAATGAAATGAAATGAAATGCAGTAGAGACCTTCACACACCAGGAAGTACCTCTCAGTCATGGTGTCGATTTATGACCAATGACACAAACTTAAACTTGAACAATTAACTAACCTGAACCAAACAACTAACCAGATCAACTCATTTTTACACTGATGGACTTCTTTAATAGTCATAAACATGCAACATACATGGTGTTATATAACAGTGGGTGGAGCTTATTTAACTCTCTCCAGAGTTAAGACAACACTGATAATTAACTCTGTGAATTAACTCTTAACACTGGCTGTCAGTCAACTCAGAAAGTGTTAAAATAACACTTCAGGAGTTAAATCAACTCTGAAAAGTTCAACACTGAAATGTTAACACTCTGGTTTTTGCTGTGCAATGTTTGTTTCTTGAACACAGGTTCTTATCAAACCCAAAACAAGGCGGAGCTTAGTTTCACCCAAAAGTGGGCGGGGCTTTGTGCAGAAGTGACATTTTGGTACACTTTCAGAAAACCTTCAGTTTTTGTGCCGGTCCTTGATCCAGTCCTGGTTCTAATGGTTCTGAATGGGTTTCAGCTGTTGCAGGCTTCTGTTTTACAGTAAATATTTCAAGTGAAATCAAAGAAAACTCTTTAATCCTGGACCTGAAACTCTTCAGCCTCCATTAGTTTGATCCGTTTCCACAGAAAACATCTCAAACTTGAAATAAATCCAGTTTCTCCGGTGAAGGTTTTGGTTTTTGGAGGATTTTATTTGAAGCTCAGATTTTTCAGCTGAAACTGTGATTTTATCCCTTTTTGTTCCCGTTTGTATCGGACCACYGAGCGCAGCCTTCATCTTGTTAATGTGTTTAATGATTGGCTGGTTCTGGTTCTGCTGAGTGGTTCTGCTCTCAGATATGGAGGTCTGCCATCATGTAAAATTAATGGACACAATCAGTAATTACCACATCAATAATTAAGCTCACTCTGTGAGCGTGGAGTGGCTCGGTGGCTCACACTCAGTCCACCATGCATTATGAATGACCCGGCATCAGATCTGATCTGGTTCTGGTTCTAACACCACTGTTTCTCTTCCAGATTCGTGCCGGGCCAAGGCGTGGTTCTGTACCCGCAGATCGGGGATAAGTTGGACATAGTGTGCCCGCGGGTGGACGGCGGCGTGACGGACGGCGTGGAGTACTACAAGGTGTACATGGTTCCCAAGGAGCAGCTGGAGAGCTGCACCATCACCAAGGCCGACACGCCGCTGCTGAACTGCGTCAAACCGGACCAGGACGTCAAGTTCACCCTGAAGTTCCAGGAGTTCAGCCCCAACCTGTGGGGGCTGGAGTTCTTCAAGGGCAAGGACTACTACATCATCTGTGAGTACGGGTCTCAGAACCACACACACCTCACTCACAGCAGGACCCGGTCCGCCTCAACGGTTCTGTCCTAAGAAGCTTCTCAGAACCACCCCCCGGTTTGAAACACGGGGGGTGGACTGAACCATCTGCGTGGCTCTGATGGGGGGTGTCGGTGCTGCAGATTGGACCATCTGCAAGGTTCTGTCAGAGCCATCTGTGAGCCGGGTCGGGACGGGTTCTGACAGGGAAGGAGGGAGCTGGGTCCTGTGTCTGTCCCAGAATCCTCTGGTTCCAGAGTTCTGGTTCTACCTAAACCCATRCTGGTGCATGGTTCTGGTTCTCAGAACCAGGAAATGAAACTAATTAGGTCTGGATCTGAGCTGTGGATGAGATTATTAAAGATAAAGACTGGTGATGGTTTTTCACTCAGTCTTTGGTTCTGATTCTCCTTCAGTCCAAGTAAAACCTGGACCAGAACCGGTCCCCTCTGCTAGTTTACCTTCGTCTAAAACCCTCGTCTTCATCACTCCGCTGAGTCAGCAGGTTGGATCAGAACAAGCTGTGGGAAACGTCGATTCAGATCTGAACCAGTCAGTTTTTCTGCTCCGACAGAATCAATCGGCTCTTCAGGGTAAAACCTCTGTTACAGCAAACATCTCTTCTACTTACAGATTTTAATATTTAAAACCAATAAACTAGAGTTTAAAGATGGACCTGATGTTTCTGTGTGTGTGTGTGTGTGTGTGTGTGTGTGTGTGTGTGTGTGTGAGACACTGCCTGTGTAAAGTTCACTGCCAGGCTTTCATTAGTCTCTTGGAGTGACTCTCAGTAACTAATTAATTAAGCGGTGTTTAATCCTCAGTTTCTCCTCACAATAGCTGAGCTCGTCTCATCGTCTCCACACATCTGACGCTCCACCAATCGGATTAGGGCAGCCTCTGCCGGGCCGCTGCCGGGCCGCTGCCGGGCCGCTGCCGGGCCGCTGCCGGGCCGCTGCCGGGCCGCTGCCGGGCCGCTGGGCTCCATGTTTCCTCTCGCATCACTTCAGAGGAACGTGGAGAAAGTGAAGATGTTGGTGTGCGTCCTCTTCCCGTGTCCTCTTCCGTGTCCTCTTCCCGTGTCCTCAGGACGTGTCCTCAGGACGTGTCCCTGCATTCAGGCAGATTTGTCAGCACCGCCACACGTCTTCTTCTTCTGCCCGTTTGTGCTTCCAACAGCCGAGCCACGCTCCGATGAGTCTGATGGGATTGTTTACGGCAGCGTGGCCTGCAGCTGAGGAGGCAGGGGAGGCAGGGGAGGGGGCCGAAGAGTGACGTAAGGGAGCTAAAGAGGAAGAAATGGAGCTAAAGAGGAGGAAGTGTGGGAGAAGGAGGGATCAGATGTTTGATTCAGAGGATTAGTTGTTGTTTTAAAGCCTCAGGATTGGTTCATTAATAAATAATGATGATAAATAATAATAATTAATGATAATCAGATSAGTCTGTGGGAAACACGGACAGGAAACAAAGCTCTTCTCACGACACTGATTAAACTCAGACAATAGATGCAAAATGTCGGTTTTTTGTGATCAGCCTGGTTGTTCGGCAGCTCTGGTATTCTGGGTGACCCGGCTTCGCTCCGGCCTGTTTCAGGGGGTCTCGGGGGTCCASAAAGGGACCAAAGGCGCCTGCTGTCAGAGGGGATTACAGCCCACGGCTGTGACGGGCGTCGACCCCGCGCCGCCGCCACGTCCTCACGCTGCAGGGAAACCCAACGGATGGCGCCGGCGTTTAGCTCATAGTCTGCTCCTGAACAGGTCCTGGTTCTGTCCATCGTGCCTGACCCGTCTCAGGACCTGTCCTAACAGTTCTGACCCGTTGTCTTTGTCCAGCTGGACATTGTTTATCCTGTCAGAACTGGAAACATGTATCATGTATCAACTAAAAGCAGTTATTAAAGGGATCCAGGATTAGTTGTAACTTTAGACTTTATTTGATAAACATTTAATTTTACTGTAAAATAAAGACTGTAAAAATAC